CACAGCCAAAGGTATAACTGCAAAAGGTTTTGGGTTTTTTCTTGCCTTCCTAATAAACTATTCAACACTGATTTAGGTCCACTGGTGTAACTTATTTCCATAACATTATAGGCACTGCTTTAAAGTACAGGCATGCACATAAATATTACTGTTTTAGCAGTGATGATGCTACAGCTCAGCATTCTCACTTTTTTTTTTTTTTCTTGAGTCAGGGATCACTACCCAACCTCAAAAACTCTCATAGATTATCATAATAAATCTTGTAATTGAAAAGAATATAAAAGTGTCCAGGTTCTGCAGACAAGTTGTAAATCAGTCATAAGAGTTTTGTGGTTCAGTGGCTGACGACAGAATTGAGCCTGGAAACCACAGCTATAATGCTAAATTGCTTTGAAATATGTGGATGACTATGCATTAAAAAATTAATGTGGATCAAGCACACGGCACTGAAACGTTGCATCAAACATATAGTGACAAAGAACTGCAATTAAAAAAAGCAACAGACCCAAACCAGTAAAACATCGTCAGATAATTGTCTAACTCTGTTCTCCAATCTGTGCTTCTTTGTAAGTCATGCCCTTTCCCAAGGAAGATTTCCAGAAGGTAAGACAGTGTAAAGGTACCACCCAACACATTTTTTTTTAAAATGTCAACTCAGATAAGACTCAACAGCAAAAAGTTCATTGAATAATTTAATGTTATTACTTTTGACAAAAATGAAATTACCTCCCCATTAAGTATTTTTGTTTTGAGGAAAAAAACTTCAACCTTCAGGGACTTGCAAAACTGTGCAATTTTTCTTTGGATAAAACAGTTGATAAATTCTCTTTTGGGAAAACTCACCTCTTTTGTTGTTGATCAAAGTTTCAAAGGAATAATGCATTTTTATTTCACCAAAAGTAATATTTTCTAATGGAAGTACTGTCTCAGAAAGTGTTTAATTGACAAACATAAGCTTTTTATCTTTAAAGCATGCAGCACTGATTTTAATTCTTTTGCTAGCAAAAAACTATTAAAAAGGGAGCTGTACAGCTGTGTTCAGGATATACACTGTATAATTTAATAGGTCTCTTCTATTTCTGATTTCAGTAATTCACTGAAATATTTATGGCCTTGCCAGAACAATGAATACACAGAGTTATGTCTTTAGTTATCATTAGGCTGCTCCTTCCCAGGCAGCTCTTCCAGTAAGGAAGAAAAGGCACAGTTCTAGTTTATTAGCTGAAAGAATTTCAAAGGTATTCCCTCCCAATGCAGGCTCATCCCCACAAATTGGATCTTGCAGGAAATAATTTTCTCTCTCTAATACTAAAAATACAAGGAGACAAAGCAACATGAGTTTCAGCAAACCTTAGCAATCAGCCAGTACTCCTGGGGTCAGCAGAAGACACCTATTTTGATATTCAGCCTCTGCAAATGCATCTTTAATATTGCTAACCCAGTAACAGGAGTCAAATTAACCAGGACACGCCTGTCCATGCTACAATTACATCTGGATTTTGATGTACAGGCATAAAAAAGGGGATGAGGAACAGCCCATGTTTACATGTCAACTTAATAGAAACTCTCCTGATGAACTACAGCCAGTGACCTGTGCAAAGTTACAGCACTGTTGTATCCATAAGATCTATAAGATCCATAAAATAGCAATAATGTATATGGCATTAATTCTGTTGTAATAAACACCAGGCCTGCAACAAATAAACACAAGAAATGTGAATACTTAGCAATACTGGCTCTTCTCAAAACAGCAAAATTGTTATTTGTGAAGATTTGCCTACTCTGCCTTATAACTGAGCTCCACTCACATTGTCAAAAGAATGGGAAGGGATAACTGAAACGTTCCTGACTGTGGAATGGTTTTGGCAATTGAACATAACATAGTTGAAAAAACCCTGAACTGAAGAAATTGCTAAAATTTCATATTTCAGCTTTTAATGCCTGAGATCAAAATCACCTTAACTAGACCAAGCACTAACTGAGCTGAGCACCAGCAGTTTCCACTGCCTTCTTTTTATCCAGTCAGCATCCAAGGAGAATGAATACAAAAACTGGGCAACTAAACTTCTGCCTGGAGGATCTTTGACATCAAAAGCACGGTGACTGTTGTGACCAGCAAGATCAATCTGAGCCAGGTAAGTAGGATTTTTGGAATTTATACTGATTTGGAGCTCATGCCAGTGAAATTCAGCGCGACTGCCGTGTGTCAGATCTCAGGCTGACGACGGATTAAAGGATGGGATGAAACAGTTCAGGACGCACTGCTTGAGTTCCTGCCGACTGGAGAAGCAGGCTCCATAGCATTTCATGGATACAGATGGCTGGGATTACATCAACAGGAGCAAGACTGTATTTTTGGATGGAAGTTTCAGAGGCAGAGTGAGGAAATTAGCAGCCAAAATACTTGAAAGCTGTGTTAAACCAGTGCCCATTTGCCTGTTATTTTATGGGGAGATAAGTATGTTCCAGGGTTAATCAGATTTTGGCCATTACCAGCACCAAGTGTATTTCTTTTCTAATTTTGTAATAGAAAAGAAGAAAATGCTCTCTCTATTCTTTTTAGCCTGATTTGCACCATATGGTCTACTAAGTGCAGGCAGCAACTACTTTTAAATGCTGCAGTTCTTTCACTGAGGCATTATTACCCTTTGTATGATGAAAGTAATTTTATGTCTTCAGGAGATCCTTGCATTCTGCAAAGCAGAATGGCCTCTCAAGGCTTAGTTTCTAAAAATACCTTAGAGCCTTTAAAGAAGATGAAGAATGAATCTTTCAAGGGCTGAGCCCGATTATTCTGTTTATTACTTTGTTATTTGCATTTCAGGATCTTGAGGATCCTGCAGTAGTAAGCATTGGAAAACGAGCTGTTGGGTTTTTTTTTTTTTCCAGTCCTCACTTGAAGAATTGCCAAACTGCCTTCACAGAGCTGTCATTCAGCCTGCAAAGCTGAAAACTGATCTGCAGCACTATCACAAGGCAATATGCACTTGAAGATTTTCAGGAATACACTGAACTTCTTCAAGCTTCTTCCCTCAGGCAAAATGTCTTGCTATTACAGAAGAAGGGGACAGTTCGCGGGGCTAATTCATAAATATGTCATTTTGACCTGCTTGTCAAGGATGATCTTTAACAAAGGAAGCAGTTTTCCTTTGGAAGAACACTCCACAACCTTGTCTTGGTACCCAGACTTAGTTTCACGTGTATTGTAAATGAATCAAAGAGGTATTTTGGTTGGGGCTCCTTCACTTCATATTGCACAAAATGAAGCAAAAAATGAAGGAGAAGTTCTGTTTAGAAGGTAAAATACATCACAGTGGCTTCCCAGCCAGCCATTCTCATCCACTGAGCAACATCAAAAATACCAACTCCAACTCTCTTAAGAATTCAATAACAAATTATTATGGTGGGGACATCTTTCTGGCAAAAAAGGAGAACTTCCAGTCTGCAGTGTAATGTCTACTATACTTTTGTCTTTGATATCTGATATTTATGAAATGCTACATCCACAAGAGCCCCCTTTTCATTGACAGCCCATCTGCAAGAAAACTTTAGATCACATGGGGAACACTGAGTGAGAAGCTGGCACAGAGGACTGCAGACAGAATGCTATCAAATAGTTACTTTGCCTTAACCACTTTTTTTTTTTTTTGAGGGAAAGAGAGAAAGCAAGTGAGGTTTAAAGCTTTAATCTCATACCCAAGCTCGTCAGAGCCCAAATCTATCTGTAATACTCTCCAAATCAGAATGAACTCAGAAAGATGACGTTCAATCTTTAAATCCTTCTCTGCAGACCTATTTTTAATTCTCAGGTTCAGAAAATGGATCCCTGCTGTGGCTCCAGAGCTTTCTAACATGTATCCTACCTATTATGTTTGACACAACCACATGGTAGAATTCAGTTGCATTCAGAACTAAGGGTTTTCCTTGCACAATTTCCTGTGTAGGGTTTTAAAACCAACTCAATGTGACAGAAATACCATTGTCACCAGTGGAAAATCAATTGTCTCTTCTCCTGGTCACTGTTATTTTCTTTCACTTCCACCAGTAACTCTTAAATTATAATATTCTGGAAACTTCTGAACAAATTTTATCTTCTCATTTTGCTTTTTTTGCCATAGAGGGATGGAATAAATAAATGCTTCATAAATAATATCAAATAAAACATTTTTCATATTTTGAAACATTTTCTCAAACATATTTCTTCAGTCTCTTTCTAAATTAATTCTGAAAATATGTAAGATATTCAAATCTTTGATACAATAATTATTGACAACCATAATGAACCACCTTTCCCAAACCTCCTGTGAGGTACCAGGCCATTTCTGTTTTGTTTTTTTTAATCAATCCATTTAAGATGGATCAGAACTGACATGTCTGCTCAACTATAGACAAATGTGATCAAAATACACCATTCTTTTGATGATCTGAGTCAGGAATCCTACAATAACCCATAGTTGTTTCTTAGCTTTCCAACTGATGCAGTTTATTACAGTAACTCTCATGAACTATCATCATTTTTACCAATGGGAACAGCTTCCTGTTAATGACCTGAGGATATACATGGATATCTCCAAATGGAACTGCTGGCTACATTCACTCCCTAGAGCAACAACATCTTAATGAAGACACTTAGATACATGTTAATGCAAATCCAGCAGAGAAACACGTTGTAAATATTCCAGTATGAAAAAAAAAGACCATTAAAGTAACGAAATTCTGCTAGTTTTACATGATTCTGGTAATCTTCATATTCCTCACTTTAGCATTAATTTTCTGCTTCAAGTTTTTCAGGGAGAAATGTACTCTGGAATAACTTTATATTCTAATTCTAGTTTGATTAAGATGCATATTGAACTGACACTGAACCTGCACTATCCTCCGCTTCTATGAATGATTTATCCTGCCAGTCCCCATCCAATTTAGAATGAAACGATCCATCTTCCTGGCTAATGAACTGATAGCACATTTCGAAGCACACAAAGATGCACACACTCACTCACAATCGACTTCCAAAATGGCACGGACAGACTTGGCAAGGTCTCTGGCTTCTGCTGCAAGAGCCGTGGTGGCGGCAGGTCCGACCCTTCCCAGCCGGGCGAGAAGAGCTTTAGTGGACAGTGTTGCTCTCCCGTCACTAAGAGAACAAACGACAGTCAGTGTTTCTTTGTAAGGTGATAAAGCAAACTGCTGCTTTTAATACAGCCAGCCTGTGTTTCTAGATTGGTTTTGGTCTCAGTGCATGGACAAAAGCCACGGATGCTGCCAAAGCAATGAGTTTGCCTCAGCGGCGGTTCTGTCTGCACAACAAAGGTATTTGGAAAGCTCAGTTCAAGCCACATTTGTGACTCAAAGTGCAGCATCAAGAACTCAGGGGTATTTGGAAAGCTCAGTTCAAGCCACATTTGTGACTCAAAGTGCAGCATCAAGAACTCAGCATCAAGAGTGCAGCATCAAGAACTCAGGGGGTGTCAGGGAAGGAACTTTTACTTCAAAGGAATTATTGTATTAGCATTTAAGAAGGGACACTGCTTCATAGGACCCAGTTCTTATCTTTGGGACTGTTACTGAGTCAGTTTGTCACCTCGGCATTGTGTTTGATACTTAATCCATTTACTAAAATGACCTCTATGAGCTCTATAAAACAGACAATATCACTGTTGTGCAGTGCCCATGGAACTGCTTTTCACTGACTATCTGCAATATCATCATTGGTCTGAGCCTCTCTATTTTTTTTTTTGAAAAAATGTTCCACCTCACTTCACTTAAATACATTTGATTTCCTTGAGAGCTTTACTGAAAAAGATCACAGGATAGAGACCAAAAAACTTTCCTGTTATAAAAATATTGATGGAACACTGTCTGGGATATATAAGTACAATCATGTCAATATTCTGAAGGACAAAAGGCCGCTGAAATCTTTTTGAATATTCCTAGGCAATATCCCCAGGATCTTCAACAAGATCAACTTCTTTTACAAGAAAAGTAATAAAATGTAAATGGATATGCATGTTATCAATTTATTTATATGCTACTGAATTCATCATGATGCAAAAATCACTTAGGCAATTCTAAAAAAAAAATAAATTTAAAAAATTATAACCCACCGTTAAGGTTCGTTGCATTTTAACTAATCCTGAGTACATTATAATTACTTCATGGAAACATCCAGACAACCATAGCTATGTAATTACTAACTGTTTTAATTTAATTCAGAGGTTTTTAATGAAGCTGTATCCTGAAAGCCTAATTTATAATTCATGCCATTGCCTCTCCTCCAATAAAATGACACTCAGAACTATACAGCAAAAATATAAGGAAAAAAATAGCTACAAGACAGTTTTTGGAGACTTGGGAACAATAGTAGGGTTTTCAATATTAATATTGCCATTTCATTACCTTAAAACTGTTGAGGAAGTAGAGTTATCTGAAAGTATTTCATGCACAACCTGTTGGCCACAGTCAAGAAGTTAACAGTTTAGAGATGGACACAGTCAAAAAGTAATACCTTAAAATTTAATGTTCTATTTGGGTGTTTAATTTAATGTTCTATTTAATGTTTCTATTTGTGTGCATTTGATTTGCAATTAAAGAGTCTAGTTTCTGCCAGCTAGAAGTGTGAAATTAAACACCACAACATTATATTTACTTCATTTAAGGGGGTTATAACAACATCACTTTTATTATTGTTTCATAACATTCCTAAGTATTATCAAATATCAGTTCTTCTGCCTTTTGCTTCTGAGGAATTTCACAGAAATTGATACAGTTTGTGAAAAAAACAAGTGAACAAACTTATATGATCATTTCCATTTGTTTAATACAGCAAAACATAAAGTAAATTCCTGGATGGATCTGTACACTTATACACCATCTATATTTCTAGCAATGAAAGGATCCCTGCAAACTAGTGTACAGTCAGTTTATTGTGCTTATTCTTCTGAAAAAAGGACACAAAAAAACTTTTCCAAATAAAATATTGCCAAAAACGAAAGGCAAAGTTACCTCTACAAACTGTAGCAATTTTTCAGTAGCCACTTCAAAGGTCTTCCTTGCTGATTCTGATTTCCTCAGCTGGCAGTCAAGCACTGTAACTCTCTTTCTCAAGTCTTGAATGTTATCCTGGGAAAGGTATTTTAAGGCTTTTATTCTAGTAATTTTTTCCCCTGGCTCACACAGATACATGGTGTGAACTGAAAGGGATGCTCGAAATGTTTAACACGCTCTTTCCTACATTTCTGAACAACACATCGCTGCTCCTGAGGCAGGAATTGCCTGACCTGCTGGCAAAACAGCTCCAGAGGGCAACAGATTTTGGCCAATGATATAAAGGTAATTTAAAGTTGGAAGATAATAACATTGATGGGGCTGAAGATTAAGGGAGTTTTAACCGATTTGTGAATGGATCAAAAATCCAACCTGATGGTGACAGCACCTGTCAGCAGGGTGGCACAACCAGCCAGTATGTGAACAGACTCAGTCCTCCAGTTTGCATCCACACATCCTTTGGCCAGCACAGTGATTATGGCCCAGCCTGGAGAAAATTACCCCCTGCATGCACTTGTGTAACCCATTGATCAGTGTTATGTATCCCTCCCTACTTCAGCTGGGGACAATGTGAGCCCTGTCAGATCAAGTCCTGGAGGCTCCAAGTTGCAGGTCAAGCCCCTGTTTGTGTGAGAGGATCATGAGGAAAACCTTCACATGCACATGGGCACGTTTGTTTAGCTGAGCTGGCTGCTGAGCAGACAGCCTCTAGAAAGATCTCTCCAAAATTAAGAAGATATCACTATAATTAAAAACAAACTTTTCCATGGCACTGTAGGTGATCATTCTGAAAGCCCACTACCTACTCCAAAACTCTCACAAGAAATCACCATAACCCAATTATTGCCTTTACTCGAAGCAAGTAAGTACAGACATTTGTTTGTGTACATTGTACAAAGCAGCAGAACCATCATCACCCTGAATATCAGAGAATCTGTTGATTCCAAACACCTTTCTTTGGTAATCTCACTGGTGAGATTGGTGAGGGACCTCACTCTTTCATACCAAAAAGAGCGTCCTATAGAGTTGGTACCTACTTGATACTGAAATGTAGAGATTTAAATCTCAGCACAGGTATTCAATCAGAATTTAAGGAATTCAAACTAGTATCTCCAGAACAATTCTCTAGGAAAGCAACCCATACCCTCTGAATTTCTTAAAATTTTACTTTTTATACCACTCCTAGAAAACAAACATTGATTCAAAAACACCTGACATAAAAGATGGGGCATCTCACCCAGATGTTCAGAAATAAGAACTTCCAGGGTATGAACTCACAATTAAATGAGAGGAATTTCTTTCCAGAAGCCACAGGGACTTGCTGTGTTGTTCTCTGCAAGCTTGTTTACCACACAGCTTGGGTTTACCTTTTAATGCCTTGTAATATTGAATTAATTCTAATGATGAAATAAGGCAACATTTCAGTAGGTTTTCTTCATCGAGTCATATGCACATCCATTTCTCACGAGAAAAGTAAGGTAACACATGCCAACCCACTTGCACTTCTACTGTGAGCAGAAAATGGATCTGCAGTTATTGGGAAAAATTTAAAAGTGCCTCAAACATTTTCTTCCTTGGCATATTCTGGAATGCCTCACTGGAGATGAAGTGGGTTTAAAATATAAAGCTCAATTAAAAAGAATTTTTTTTTGGCAGGATTAGTAGCATTTAAGTGATTATCTTGATTAAATCTAAATTTACTTAAGAACAGGACTGGACTTTATACTGTTGTTTTTTGCCTACCAGAAACATAAACATGAAGGGCATTTTCACACGAATACAAAGGCACACGTGTAGCCTTTAAAGACAATATATCTACAGCTCAGAAAGTATTCCATGCCTTAATGCTTGAGATGTGCCACTCTGACCTGTGACCCACATATACCCTCCTAGCTCCTGTTTTTCCAGCCCAAAGATATCTGGATAAAGGAAGACTCGTACACTCCACATCACCCCCTTCCCCACGCGTCCTTCCAGTTATTGAATAATACAAGACAAACAGTGACCTACTTTAGAAAAGCAGATGAAAAGAAAATGAAAACAAGATACATGACAACAGCGAGGAAACCATGGTAACTCTGACAGGCGACTGCTTTGCTTACTTTATTTTGGCCGGAGTGATCGGCGAGCTGAGCCTTCAGCTCTCCAATTTCAGCTTCCAGCAGGCGAATCACTTCTTCGTAGTCCATCTCCATCCCCCGCGCCTGCCTCTGGGCAGCCTCTGCGAGATGGATCCGGCTCCGCAGGGCTCTCGTCTCCTCCACGGCTGCCTTGGCTTCCTGCAGGTTACACAGTTCCATGGAAAAGTTACAATTCCCTTGAAAAGTTCCAAGCCCAGCTAACAGAAGAACAGATTTAACTCACAGGTGCCGCAGGTGAAGTCAGGGCTACCTGCCAGTGTTTATGGTTGGGTGGTTCAATCGATAATTTTTAAAGGGTAGGATGTGAGGCCACACCTGGAGTACTGGTGAGGCCACCCCTGGAGTGCTGTGTCCAGTTCTGGGCCCCTCAGTTCAGGAAGGATATTGAGGTCCTGGAGCAGATCCAGAGGAGAGCAACAAGGCTGGTGAGGGGACTTGAGCACAAGTCCTATGAGGAGAGGCTGAGGGAGCTGGGGCTGTTCAGCCTGGAGAAGAGGAGGCTCAGGGGAGACCTCCTCACTCTCTACAACTCCCTGAAAGGAGGTTGTAGCCAGGTGGGGGTTGGTCTCTTTTCCCAGGCAACCATAAGCAAGGCAAGAGGGCATGGTCTTAAGCTGTGCCAGGGGAGGTTTAGGTTAAATATTAGAAAGAGTTTCTTTCCAGAGAGGGTAATCAGCCATTGGAATGGGCTGCCCAGGGAAGTGGTGGATTCACCATCCCTGGAGGTTTTTAAGATAAGACTGAACGTGGCATCAGTGCCATGGGCTGGGAACCACAGCAGGGTTGGATCAAGGGTTGGACTTGATCTCGGAGGTCACTTCCAACCCAGCTGATTCTGTGATTCTATGAGGGAGCAAAACCCAGGTATTTACAGAGGCAGAATGTGCCTGATAAATTAAATAATAAAATCTATAATTGGTGTAAATCGAAAGGAATGAAAGGTTTTATAGAAATGCACCAGGTGCTGTTAATCTGCCCCCTCACTTCCATCCTAAAAAAGTGCTTTACTGAGATATTACTTCCTTTTATTATTATTGCCTGAATTCACACTCCAGTGAGTATCCTCCAAGGTGTATATCACCAAGGCATATCCTTGGTTTTCCACTCCAGTCAGAGCTCACACATCATGGAGATGGACTCTTAATGCAAGTATTCTCAAAAATCAATGCTTTTTTAAAATTGATTTTTCTGCCTAGTTCCTGCTCCTATATCTTTATCCTCTATTATCACAGAAGAGTGTTAGATAAAATGTTCGTATAAATAATGTATGGAAAACAGAAAGCAGAAACCGTTAGTTTTTAATTCAGCAAACGCAATCCCTAAATGCTGCAAAATCTCACTTTGAGAAAGATACTTCGCAGTTCATTTGACTACTGAATATTATTTCAAGTTAATTTTGATTTGTAAAATTTAGAAAGTCAGACTAAAGGTCTGGACAACAGATGAGTTTACAAACTAGGAATAAAACAAACAAACTGCTCATAAAAAATGTAGACACACAGGCTCACTGGCACCAAAACCAACAAACCTTCTTTCCCCTTAGCTTTTAATTAATCAGTGGGAAAAGTAATTTTATATCAATTTTCTGAAGAATTAAAGTTACAAGCTTTAAACACAAATACACAGAGGCTTTTTTGTACAAATTCCTCAGTTAAGGACACTTAGGTGAATATCCTATTCCTAGTCTACCTATTATTAATATAACTATATCCTAGTTGGGAATGGAACTAGAGGGAAAACGTGGGGGAAGAGGAGAAACACACTATGAATCTATAAAAAGTAGGAAATAACCCTCTAGAAAGTAGGCTTGAAATCACTGTTTCTGAAAAACCTAAATGACCAAATCTCCTATTTTTGTGGAAGAAATGGCATACAATATTTAAGAGGTGCCATAATGGAAATGTCTGGAGAGGTCAGCTAAGCTTACAAATGCAGATTTAATTCTTTCCTAACGCAGAAGGTTTTGCCCTGTGCAATCAATATCCTTCAAGTCATGTTTTCCTGTACTTTGTCATAATGTTTCTTCTGTAAAATGATCTACTAATCTCAGCTTCAGATGACTTTTGACTTGTACTCTGTTAGCCTGAATAAGCAATACAGTTCAGGCCATAGGTCAGTTAATCTCAGCGATATATATACAGGACACCATCCTCCTCAGATTTGCAATGGGTCTGCATAAATAAATAAAATACCACTGTGCACCCCAGCCCCTTAGAAAATACAGCAGTAGAAGAAGTGACCACACGTGCAGAACAGCAGCATCAGCAGTGAATACAGGTGATATTTGTGTTTTATATAATTTACAGGTTTCTGTTACAGAGCACAAGCAATAATCGATCCATTTAAATGACCTTTAATTTCACAGCAGGTAGAATGAGTTTTTTTTTTTCTCTTGAAAGCCTAAAGCATGAGATGAGCCTTTTTAACACTTATTCACCTCCATCTGGAGACACAGCCTATTCCAAAGCTTATTGCTCCATGTCTGCCTGTTATTTGGTGACTTGGCTTCATGGTTGTCTGTTTGCAGCACCACGAGCAGTGCAAGGGTCATCACTGAAAGCAGACTAGAACAATCCACCCCTCTTTTGAGCTGCTCAAAGCAGTTCTTTTTCCTAGAAACAATTCAGAGAACACAGGGACTTCTTAGAAGTTATGAATCTATACAAGCAGAGGTCAAAATTACTGCCTCTGGAGAGGGCACTTTTTTGCCACTCTGAGAAACAATATGACTCAACAGCAAGAAAAGCTGGGCCCTGCTGATCCAGAGCATGAGCTGTGAGTCTTCAGCAGCAAAGGTATCCTTCAGAAACAGGCTGGAGGAGGGAAAAAGAGCCTTGGAGACAAAAGGGGAAAGGTGCTCTGATGTTAAGTTTGACTAATATAAACGAACACTGAAGCCTTGACAAAGGGTGGCATCTTAAAAACCCACACACAGGAATTATTTAAATAAACTGACATCAGAAAAGTGAGGGGAAAATTGTTATAATGAATAGGGAGGTCTTAGTTTTGAAATAAGACCTCCTTGAGATAAAGGTTTAATCTCATATAATCCAGAATTGCCTTTACTCCTCCATTGCTCTTTTCAGAAACCCGGTTGTTGAATATTAATTTCTCTGTAATAGCAGACTGAGTATGACCAGATTTCAACAGTGAAAGACCTAAAGGAATAATTAACAAACAATGGCTTCTTACATTACAATGAAACAATTACACACACTACAACTGAATTAGTAAAATTTTCTGACAAACCAGAGCTGTTTTCTGGAGCAGGGAGGCACAAAGGGAAAGGATACCACCAGCTTTCCCTGTTCTCCAGTTACTGCAGCTGGCACTGGGGGTTCTGTGCAGGTAAGGGGCCCCCACCAGTGAAGAACAGATGGGTAACACCACAATTCAGCAACGTTTGCTCCTGTCCCACTCAGCTGTTGTATGAAAGAAGTGTTCAAGGCCAGGCTGGATGGGGCTCTGAGCAACCCGGTCCCGTGGAAGGTGTCCCTGCCCGTGGCAGGGGGTGGAACAAGATGGTCTTTAAGGCCCCTTCCAAGCCAAACCATTCTGTGATTCTAAGACACACCAAAAAACCAGGATCTGCAGCTGCTAATATTGCATTTATATAAATGCCTGTTGGGACCATTTTTCCTACAAACAATAAGAAATTGAAAGCTGGAGGAGAGAAACCCAATTCTTACAAAATTTCAAGGTACAGGTTTCTTCCTGTGCCAGGTTCTATTTCTGCCTTGGAGAAATCTGAGTGTCTGAAGCAGGTTTTATCCAAGTAATACTCCAGCCACCACAAACACTGGAACTAAAATATTCTCTTAAACTATGTGAAAATTCTAGTTACAATTCAATTATGTTTAGTCATTAATTTCACAAACACCGTATGCTGAAAAGTTAATGAAATGAAAATAAACCAAATACTTCTTTCAGGCAGGGTGAAATAAATTACATACTGCCTCCAAAATAGCAGCCATTCAAAGCCCAAAAAAAATAATAGGACAGAAAATCTCAGCCCTGTGAACCACGAGTCCAGCAGGTTGGGATACCACAAACAGCATCTTTGCAACCTTTCCCATTTACTATGTTTAGCTGAGGTGCTTCAGCTGACAATAACTGTGGAAAAAGCTGCAGCACAGAAGAGATCATTCAGGTTGGTATGACCCAGGACTTTGAGGCAGCACAGGATACAGTCAGACTCCTCCAGGAGGACAGAAGACACTACAGAGTCCACATTCATGCTGTTGACAAGACTTCAGGGACTCAAAAATACCTTTCTGTGTTTTGTGCCAATTTCATCCCAATTTCAAATTAAAAAAAGATCAGTTAATGTATTTTAGCTGTCATACATCAGTATTAGAAAATACTTTCTAGCTCATTTCAAATTTAGCAATACTTCTAATCCTAAGAGCTCACCCCTCCTGTTAGCTACTGATTCAAGCACTGTTTAATGAATTACTACCAACAAAGCATGTTCATTAACCAGAATATTTGTACCCCTGTCTTAATTAAGCTGTAATCTCTGCAATTCACAATTAGTAGACAACAGAAATACCACAAAAGATACTCCCATATATGACTGGTAGCCTATAAAACCTTGTTTTTTTCAGAGGAGCAGAGATTTTAAAAAAATGTTTAAATTACACTGAATTCAGAAGGCCTTAAGCACATACTTAAATTGGGGTTTTGTTTACTTTGGTTGTTTGTTACTTTTAATCAGGCCATTAGGGCCCAATAATGTACTCATTAACTCATTTCACCAACTTCAGCTCAAGCTGGAAGGCATCACAAGTTAAATGGAAACTTGCACCCTAAGTAGCCTATTTTTTTAAAACCTTTGTATCACTATGAATTGCATTGTTAATATTGGTTCCAAATGACAGAAATATGTATAATAATATATATAAAACACTTGAAAATGCACCAAGTATAAACAGAACTAAAATTTCCATTAAAAGCCAACTTGTGGTGCTGTAATTACATATAATTTATTACTTCTGTTTCATTTCACCGTGTGGAACCTTTTGAAGGCTCACTAGAAGATCAGTATTTAGCCCCGGGAGGTTTGCACGGCAAAGCTGAACTTCCCCACCACAGGACAGCACCTGAGAAAAATAAAAGCGTGAGGACCTCGAGTGGTGGCAAACGGGCATTACTGGTGCTTAAAACACCCTCTCAGACCAGCCTGGTCCAAGTCTGCCTTCCCAGTAAGAGCAGGTTTGCACTGGGCTTTGTACTTTCTAACAGCATTAGTCTAGATTAATAGGCTGAACATCTGCTCTGGTTTGAACCCCTATTAGTGAATGGAAACGTGAAATGCATTGTTGGAACACACCTGCAGTTAAATTTTATCCAGAAGATAATTCAATTTATTTCCCTGCCATCCCACAGTGCAACAGCACAACATCAATGGAACAAGCTTTCAAGCACTTCCCTTATATTCAAGGAGCAAAAAGTAATAATGAAGGTGCTCAACAAATCCACACACATAAGCAAAAATATAAAATATAGCAGTACCTAGGAAGACTTTTTAAACTGTATCTTACATTTTTACACATGACATCTGATGGAGCAGATATTCCCTATAGGTTTCTCATGGCTATTTGTAACAGTACAGGAGAGAAGAAGGGCAGGCAGCTCATTAGAAGAGATGAGCTGACAGGAGTTCAGGAGAAGAAGGGAACAGGAAAGTTACTTGGGTTTGAATCCTGGCTATAAGTGACATGAGACTTACATGCAGTTGGAAATTTCCTTTAAGAGACACAAGAAGGCTGAATTTTGTAAGAAACTGTGATTTCTTCTCTCATAATTACAGATATATTTGGAGACAGAAACAAGACATTCCTCACAAAATCCTCACCATCACTTTTTTTCCCTGGTAAATGTCAGGTTGCATTGTCAAGTGTGTCTGTTTTTTCATGCTTAAGACTTTGGCTGCCATACAAAATAGTTAGTGTTAGGACTGTAAATTAGGGACACTGTTGCCTAAGAACAGCAAAATCACAACACCAGAAAGGTACTACATCATTATCCATCCTCACTGACCCAGGTTGTCTTAGGGTTCCTACCTCAATTCAACAGCAGAGGAGTATTACTGCTCTAAAAACTGAAGGATTAATACTCTCTACTTCTAATCAAAAGGTTTGTAGCAACAAAAGAACCACTTTGTGTTGAAATCAGTGTGAAAGTATAGTCTATATGAGCATCAAGACACAAAGAAGTGTTCCCTTCTCCTTTCCACAAGAAAAGAGTTAAAAAAATTTGAAAATAATAATTATAATTTTAAGAAACTTCAACATACTTGCTTGACTGCTTGTAGCTGCTCTGTTAACTGTTTCTGTGCATTCACAGATTCAGACAATTCTTCCTGTTAAAAAAAAAAAAAAGGAGAAGAAAGAATTAATAATTCAGACTAGAAGAGTTTTTAGTCCTAAAACTCAATTAGCTCCTTCAAAACTACAGGTAGCAATTCTTAACTTTTATCCAGGTACTTTCTGCCTTCTGTACAACTACTGTGTCTGTTAACAATGCTGTATAATCAGAAACACACATATTAAAAAAGTTCTGGTGGCAATAATAAGTAATGAACAGCTTTTATAAAACCTTTGACAACCCCAAATTCCCATCTCTCAAAGGCAGCTTTTCAGTGAGTTCAGTGAGACTGGTTAGGTTACTTGAGCATTTGAGGATTATTCACTGAACATTTCTGGGATATGTGGAAAAGAGTATAAAAAATGAGACTATTTCAGATTAATCATTGCAAGTTTTCAACATCAGCAATTTAGGGACTCGTGATAAGTATTCACTGCTTCAACACTCAATGGAAATTGGGTTCTTTCATTTCAGTACAAAGCTTTCAGAAGAAGAAGCCTCGTGCACAGAACAAAGCACAGACCTTTGGCCATATCAACCCACTGTTTTCGTAATTTATAGCAAGAAAGAATTCTTTTTGGACCAGGAGGGAATTTGTATAATTGTCTATATCCTCAGATCAATTTTCCTGTCCAAGAACAAAAGCTACACATGCTGAATAGAGAAATTTTTATCTTTTGGTATGTTAAAAAAGCAATTCAGGACCATGGGGGCGTGATTGTAACCCAGGGTATTAAGAAACAATAAATATATTCGTTGCTTTAGGTTTTAGGAATTTTGTAAAGTCTGTGAAAATATGTATTACTTTGGAACATGATTAATTTGTCCCCCAGTTCTGATTTCTTTCAAAAGTATCACTACATGCTCAGACTCTACAGTCACTAAGATCACATTTTTATCTCTAAATAAAATTGCCTGGCAAATCAGTCACTTCTCCAAATTCACTTTCGCAAAATTTAGTTTCATTTCTCTGTGGATCAGATTAAAAAAATGTGTTAGGATTCAGTATAACAAATAAAATTTACTGTCTCCAGAAATATATTATAAGCAATCTTCAAATGTATTAGGACTGTTTGCTCTGCCTTTGTACTTAATCATGAAAAATTCCACATAAAATTCAAAATAAGAACAGTAAATTATTACATACACTCCAAAAAATGATTAGTCTCTTGAATAATTTAAAGCAAATAAAAATGGTTACCTTTAATTTACCAATTTCTTTTAAAGCTTCATTTCTTTCTTTCTTCAGTCTTTCCACGTCATCCTCCAAAGAATTACAGGTTACAAACTATTTAAATACATAAGGTTATTGCTAACTGTGTCTTCCATAATCTTTAACATCTTATATTAAGAGGTCTTGTTAATAAAATTAGAGAAAAATCTTAACTTTAAAACAATTTAAAGCTCTGAAAATGCTAAAAATGTTTAAGAAAATTTTGACCAACTTATCTTGCCAAGGAACAATTATTTTTCCTGTTAAAGTGAATTAATAAAAGTACTTTTTAAAGTATCGAGAAAACATCATTAATAGCCCCTGTTTTCTGCATTATTTTAAATAATACGTCTTTTTATTTTAGTATTCATATGCTAAAAATGATTTTTTTTAAAGTCAGCTCTAGAATAAAATGATTTTCACAGTAGCAGGAGCTCAAATCACTTGGCCCAGTAATTGTTTATCATTCACACAGGTTGTAGCATTTCCATTAAGAAACCTCAGAAAATCTCTGTTGTCCAGACTTATAACAAACCACAACATAATTATATTAATTGCTCTCTGCAAATCAGGCTGCTTAATAAAGCTTGACAGAAACTGGGTTACCTTAAAGAACCCCGGGATATGGAGCTGTTTTAAACATCTGCCCAAAATTTGGAATGATTTCACATATAATACACTCTCCAATAATCTCCTCCCAACAATTAAAACACTGTTCAAGCACATATTTTTACCTGTGGATCCTGTAAGCTGGAAACTTCACTGACCCCAAATGTGACAGATTTGTGGCCATCATCTGCTGTATTTGAGAACAGATTCCTTGAAACTTCAATGAAATCTAAAAAACAGTTCACATTTTGTTGCTGCAGCCTGTAAGTTCACTTCAGTAGCAGTGTCACCAAATGCAACACAACTCCAAATATTCACAACGAACAGCCAGTCTTTTATAAATGCAGCTTAAGCTTTCTAAAGGAAAATATGAAAATCAGACACATCCCTCTCAAGAGAAACTTTTGGTAAAGCTGGTAAAGAATAAAAATGTCCAGAACACGTCTTGGGAAGAAATAGCCTCAAAATTAAGTCGTGAAGGACAAAAGAAAACAAAGGTGGTGTGAAAGTTCAGCTTCCAAGTACCTGTTTAGGGATGCTTTACATTTGGCAGGTCTCTGTGACAAATGAAAAGAAATCTGCACACCAGGTCTACACCTGCCCTCCCCAGTAATTAATTATGTTTGAGGAGACACATTATCTCTGCAGGAAAAGGGAAGAAAATTCATGCTGGCTCAGAGCTCGTGGTTTCCTCTGCAGGTCCTTTAAACCCCTGACAGAGAGCCGGGAAAACTGACGTTGGCCAAATTGAAAGTTCTAAATACAAACACTGCATCACTCACAAGCAACGTGGCTTGGATGACCATTCATTATGAATGTATTAAAAAAAAAAATCTGCCACGATATGACAGAAAAGTGGAAATATAAAGGTCAGTTAGTTTACTCCACATAAAATCTGATGGAAGATCCGGTATCTTTCACGATGAGATACTTGAAAATCCAGTGCCTTTTTGGATGGTTAAGTATAAAATATTACTTTTCACACACTAGTTTTTGATGCTGTTCTTCATAAACTTTAGGAAAAGTGAAATTTCCATCAGTTTTAGCATCAGAACTTTCACGTCTCACAGCTTTTGAAAAATATTGTTAAATTGTCAGTGTCACCAACCAAAATTGTCATAACCAACAGAAGCGACTCTTTCCCATCAGAATTAGGTTTAGCCAGAAGAATTGTGATGGTCTCCATGCAAACCTCTTTCTATATGCAATAGCTGAAATGTTCTTGCTTCTCACAAACTGAAGTTAAAAAAAATCCATCAGTTTAGTCCCTTCAAGAAGTCTCTTTAACCATCAATACTTTCCCAAGTAATTTTTGGAACAATTACAGCTCCCTATCGTCAAGGTAAAAAATTTAGGCATTTGTGAGCACAAAACAAAGCTTTCCCAAGGCTGCTCTTAATTAGATAAATTTGTGATTTGCTTTCCCAATACTTAGTTTCAGAATTTCAAGCGCATTTTTATACAGTAGAATAAGGTTCTTGCCTCAAACTATCATTTTATTTGCAGCAGCAACCCAATAGTGACAGAAAATATATTAAATGGTTATTATCTATCATTTCTGTACTCCTACTTTTCATTCTTTTCCATAGTAATTAACAAATTATTACCTCCAAAAGACACTGTTCCTTTAGAATCTTTCTGAAGTTGCTGCCTGAGGGCTAGCTGCTGTTCATCTGTGAGCTGAATCCCAAGATAATTCAGTGCCTGAAAGGAAAAAACTTATTTTGGAGTAAAAAAAGAAAGGACTAGGGATAATGACTGCAGGGACATGGGGGAGTAATTAAAGAGCTATACTTCAAAGAGCCTTTGTATCCTGGTACACTCTCACTGACAACACTTTTATTCCAGAGCCACTCTGTGACTTTTCCTTCTAATTGAGAGATGTACAGATATTATTTAACCTTGAATATGGATGAGTGTAATAAGCAAAACCCTTTGTCCTTAATAACTGCCTTAAAAATCCTGAGGGATGTTCGGATTCCCAGAAGAGTTAGTCAGTAATTAGATTAACAAAAACAGTAATTTGCCCAATATATAAAATGAAGTATTGCCCTGCAACACGAAAGAACTACTCGGATGGAAAATTTTGTGTGTCATTTATACCTTAAAAGTTTGTCAGCCTAGGAATATTGTCCAGATGTTTTACCTGCATCAGGAAGGGGGAGGAAGGAAAACTCCAAAGATTTTAAGTATTTACCCTCTCCAGTTTTTCTGTTTTGAGGCGAATAGACGAGTTCCTTCCTCGAGGCTCATAATCATCATTCTGGCTGGGGGCAACAACTAAGAGGAAAAAAATTAATTAATAATTATCTAGTTGTAACTATTGCTTTGAAAAATTTGTTCTAAAGGTCTGCTTGTCAAGTGGGTGCCAGCTAAATACCCACTTGCTAAAAAGACATTTTAACACTTAGACTGACTTTTTTTTTTTTAAAGGACGCAGTTGTAATAAACAAAAATTACGGGTATCAATCACCTACACTATTTTTTTTTTGTATAAAGAAGTGACAAGTAGCAAATTAGTAGAAAGGAACCAGGAATAACTGAGTGATCCATCAAGCATATGGCTTATCCTGGTGGTGTTTTCTCTTCTCTCAGAGATACACAGATAGCCAGGAAACAGAAGGGGAAACACAGTTGTGAATTCCAAGAGAGACCTCCAAGACACACCCTCATCACAGCTGACAGCTCCCAAAAACATATGGAGTGATCCAGAAAACACTGTGGAAAGAGAGGGGATGACCTGTTGCCAACTAAGGGCTGTGTGGAGGGAGCTTAGACTGAATTTCCCAGGCTCCTTAGGAACTCTTTTCCAAGAACTCTCAGCCATCAGCCCCTTCCCCACGTTCCCATGTTTTTAGCCAGCTGCATTAATAACCTGTGGTGCACCCACTGCATTTCCAACACACACAAACCATGAGGCTGAGGCAGGGAGAAAAAGGCAGCAGCACCAAGGAGCCCCTATGCAAGATTTCACAATAATTGCCTTTTATTTTTTTTTTTCTTTTTGTGTGTGCATGCTGAGTTTTGATGGAACTTGAGAAAAACAGTCACAGCTTTGTCATGTTTCAGACACACCTGTGGATGCAACACAACCACCTTTGGCAGCCTTTGCTCACAGACAGCAGGCAGAAGGAGCAGTGAACTGCCTATTGCTTTGGATTTTAGATCTGTGCACGTAGAAAAAATTCATGGTTTGCATTCATTAGTTATAAATCTAATTTAGATCTTAATTCACCGTTCCATTAATGGATTAGAGAAGTACCAAAACCAAACCCAGCATTTAAAAAGCGAAGGATTTTGCAGTTTGAGATTCTCTCTAAAGGAACAGAAGGAAGCACAGAGAACTCTACTTTTTTTTAATTTTTTTTTTAGTTTCACAGCATATCTGTTTCCAAGCTCCAAGTAATTTACATTCTCTCTATATGCCAAAAGCATAAACCAAAACATCTTGAAAATCTCTGACACTAACACCTCTCACATGCTATATTAAATTCTGAAGACAGTGGGCTAAACCTCGGTGGAATTGGCACACTTCCTTTGAGCTCAGAATGAAAAAGCCTCTCGTATGGGTTTGTGCAAAAAACTTTTCAAAACTGTGCTGATTTTTTCATAAAGCATAAAAAAAAAAAATCCTCTAAGAGATACTTTAATTTTTTCAAGGTTATCTTTGAAAGGTTATCCTCGATAAAGGGCAGCATGAAAGAAGTGGCAGGTTTGACAAAGGATGTGCTATTAAAAAGGAAGAAAATGAAACATAAGAAACAGCACAAACTGGAGCTGCAAGTGTTTGTCCTTTCCACTCCACTACCCACTTATTCAGATGTGTTAAGAAACTGTGGCCTTCTTGGTCTCTTTAAACAATAAAGCTCCTGGGTATTGCATTATATTAACCAAGAGTCTCATATTCTGAATATATTAAAAAACAGCCTTTTGTCTTGTTTCTTTCATTTAGTTGAAGTGTTTTTCATGGTCAGTATGAAAATCTGTGTGATCATTAATCTCCAGGTATATTCAATACTACAATCTTTCCAGTTCCAAAAGTTCACATTCATTCAGCTCACCCTTCAAGGAAGGGAGACAACCAGCCAGATTTGCATTATAGGAACTGTTTCATTTTAAATTTGAATATCTAATATGGGCTATAATAAATGCAGGTATAATTTAAGTAACATCTGGAATGAATCAGATCCTGTATGTTTGTTCTTCCTCTTCTCAGTAAATTAGACACCAAGCTGAGGAGCTCAGGTTATGCTTAATTGCTACTACCTGAAGAAAAAGGATATAGTTCAGGTCTTCACAAAGAAATACAGAACAGAGTCAGTTCTGTCACTGTGCCAATGGGGACTCCCATTATTGGGTCAGACTCCTGCATTTTCACTGTTTCTAAACACAACACATATTTGTTTCCCAAAGGAATTACAATTGTTCAGCTCAAATCTGGTTCTGACCAAATTCTGCAAACTCTGTTTTTCCTTAAGTGTTGTTTTCAAGGTAGATCTTTAGAGACATGATCAAAGTGACTCTTGTCTTTCTTCAAATGCCATGGCTCTCAAAGATAAATATTAACATATATATTCTATTTGTTATGAATTGAAAGGCTGTTAGAGGTCTGCATGTTATTTCTACCCCTCCAATATGCTGCCCTGATTTAAACAAAAAACCCCATGCAAGCAGCACACATCTACAGAATTTCATCAAATCAAGAAAGCACAGTTTCTATGGCAACCTAATCTTGATCTATATGTGAGTCTTCATTATCTGGTTTCTCCTGAGTCTATTATCATTACTGCTGTATAGCAAATGTTGTGATCACTCGTTTTTGTTTGGTTTCAGCTGTTTGTTACAGACAATGTAAGTTATATTTGACAGAAGCTCCTAAAAATCCATTGATCTCAGTTCTTTATTTAAGACTATAAAAATATTCCTTTTTTTGAAGACTACTGAGTCTCACCATGTAGTGTGTGCTGCAAGACAGTTATCAAAGAAAAAAAAAAAAGGGTGGTAGGGAATGAAGTCAGCACTTACCCGTGGCAGACACATCAGCAGGACTGTTGTCTGGAGGAGTTATTGGAGATTGCTCTCCCATCTTGACTCCAGTTTCCATCTACAAAAGAAAATCAAAAGTCATGAAACACCACTCCTGAAGCAGATCACAAGCTAAACTAGAAATACACATTAATGCAAAAAGAGAGGGACAGGAAGGAAGACCAGGGGGAGAAAAAAGGGCTGGATAGATCAAAGCAACAATGGAAGGCAGGGAGGGGGTGCTGGTGGTGAGAAGGGATGGCATTGGAAAAACTCAGATCAGGACCTCTTCAAAACCCTGGGTTTTGAATATCTCCACAGATTAAGATAACACAGTCTCTCTAGGCAACCTGTTTCAATATTTATATCCCTAACAGGAAAGAAAAATGGGCAAGAATTTTAAGTACAAACATAAGAAGAATTGAGAATCACCTGCTTTGACTTTGTGTTTGACACAGAACATTTTATTCATTCTTGTTCGAAGGTAATACTTTATTTAGCTTTAAAAGTAAGATAAGCTGAAAAAGTTCCTTCAAAAATTAAAATAATAGTTTTAAAATCTTCTTTCTTATGGTCAACATTATTCCCTTTACAAATTTACTTCTTTAAGGTGAGCTGTATGAACTAAAACAACAATTGTTGATGAGCTCAAAGGGGAAAAAGGCCACATTCTTCTAGGACTTTTTTAAAGCAAAAATCCCAACATCACAGAGCAAGTGTAACTTCTGAGATTGTACTGTTCACACATATGTAGTAAACAGAGAGTATTTTATCTCTGAAATAAATAACTATAGATATCACATTCCAAAACTTTACTACCTAGGGAAACATTAGGGAGAACTTTGTATCTAAGAACACAGTTAATGCTTATTTTATTTGATTTGTTGTCTTACCCCAAGTCAACTAACAGTCTTATTCCTCTCATCAGTGTGGTTTAACCTCCTGTTACACAACATGGTTTTTGCAAATCTTTTGATATTCCAAAGACTTAACATTGTGCAGGAAAATAGCCATTTTCTTACTAAAATGGAAACTCAATTAAAATTAGGAGAAAACAACCATTTGCTCACTTTATTCTAAGTGGAGTAATAAGTGTACTCACAGCATCTGGAGTGAATGTTGAAACCAGCTTCCCATTAGGGGATGGCAGAGCCTGTTGCTCTCCATATGCTACAGAAGATGTCAAGAGGCTGAAAGGACGCTGCAGATTCTCTGGATAACTGGGAGTATTTTTTTGCCTAATAAAAGCTATCTCCCAGAAGTTTTCCAACCTAAAATTAAAGAAGTTTCAACATATTATATGCTATGTTGTTTGTAAGATTATATGTCGCTTCTGCAAAAAATTACATGTTTTCAAACACTGTCTGATTTTATTATTTTTTTTTTCTAAAAGGGTGCTCTATTCCCCATCATTAAAAAGGTTGTGGGTTTGGGTACTCCTTTGATTTTTTATTTTTGAAAGCACTCAAGTATCATAATTTTTCAGGTCTAAAAGGTGCGTCTGAGTCTTTTCTATGAAATAATATTGCAATTGAATCTTAAAAAAATTAATATGCCTGCATTTCCTCTAAAGTCAAGTCATTAATCTGATCATAAACATCATATAATAAACCATTTTGGAGGGTTAGCTGCTTGACAGTAGCAGATACCTCATCTTTGTTCTGTTGATTATACTTTTTGCCTCTTCATAGGAGACACCAATCATGGACTCCTTGTTGATGGACACAAGTTGATCTCCAGGCTTCAATCGTCCATCCTAAGACAGCAAATAAAAAACCAAACCCGTTATTTTTATAAGAACTAATAAACACTACAGAAAGAACTGCATAATCACAGCACTTTCACATATTCCTCTGGATCTGTTGAGACAAGAAACACCAAGAGCAGCTGTGCATTCTGCCTGACAATCTTCCAGGAATAAACAGATTAAATGATCATTAATCACCATCACAGCAGTCATTATAAAAACTTCATTAGACAGAACACACCACAGATATTGTCCAAAAAAGAAATTTGGACCCACATACATATTCTGTTAAAAAACCCCATCCAAAGGAAGCCCAGATTTTTCCAGCAAGGAGCACCAACCCATCTGACTTTAGGAAGCTTCTTTACTAATTAATTCAGCTGTGAGCTGGGTTAATTTGTATTTCAGACCCAAATGTTCACAGCAATACATGGGACTCATCAGGCACTCACTGGCCATGTTAAGTTAATGAGAAAACTAGATTAGTCTATTAGGAATTCACCAGGCAAAACCACGACAGAAATAACACTGTCAACTTTGTGCTTCTGTTAAATTAATTGCAAATTCTCTACCACATTTCTGTCTGAGAGACTATAAAACAAGACTTTAAACATGCTAGGCTATGCTTCTCAATAAGAAAAAGCTTTCTCTACTCACATTTTAAAAGAGGCCTCAACAATTTAGCTGGAATTTCATGCAATTCACCTACAGTTACAGAGTTTGTTATGACATTTATCTAATGTAATAAACATCGAATCACACATCTCTGTTCTTCAGCTCTTAAGAAATTAATCACCAAGTGAAACAAACTGTGTACAGATGATACACAGGAAACAAGAAAAATACCTTTTCAAGACCAGTATAATTATACCTATTTAATATCCACATACCATAATACTAGCTGTGTCATTTCAAACCAATGACAGCATTTTATTACTTTTTTTTTTTGTCACTTAATGTTTTGGTTTTGATTAAAGAAAAAAGCTGTAGGTCTTTTATTTTGCTTTCATCCAGCCTGTTAAAGAATATCCATTTCAATGGTGCCCTCACGTGAACACGTTTTCTGCTTCAGCTTCCCAAAGGGGATAACCAAGGTTGGGAAATTACCTCCATCAGTGCTAACATTGGAACCTACTGAAAATTTATGTCTCAGCCTCAGCCTATTGATTATGTGTGATAGGCTTTAAATTTATGTTTGCAATGAGAAAAAAAGTTTTAGAAGCCACAACAAAATAGGAGAAACAAAAGAAGAATGATTATCATTTATCTACTGAAAAAGGTCTTTGAGAAACACCGAATGTTTTCCTTTACTTAATATTTTAGGACTAAACTTAGTCTACAAAAGTTCAGTAACAAATACTTACAGACTGTTTGGGGACAAAACTGATTGTTTGTGAAATCAGCTTGTAGCCTTTTGCTTGGCCTGAGGCAAAAGCTGGTTATCTACACTTCAAAATAATCATAATAACTCAGGATGCCAAAGGAGATTCTTGGATAAACAGTCCTGTTTACTTGTACCAGATAGTTGCAGTATTTATTTACTTTTTAAACTGACAAGTCCTCCTGATTTACATACTGCATTTGTCATAAATGAAAACAGTAATCAGAACTGATTCATACATTTTATTAATCTGCACTTTCGGAATATTCTTTTTTTTATTTGCCTACACAATGATTTCCAACTGCAAGGATTCATCTAAATAAAGCCTCAGGGAAACATGATTTTTTTGAATGTCCAGGAAAAGAACCAAAGAGATGACATCTGTAGCTGTGTCCCATCCTTCCTATTTACCTTCCACCATGCAACCTCTTACAGAAGTTGATTTTGTACCTTCTCATACATAAACTGGGGAATGAAGATCCTCATTTACCTCAAATAGACTTATGAATAATTTTCATTACCATGTAACCTGCTGCAGTGCAGTGAGAGAAGTCTGTTTAAAAAGAGGGCAAAGAGAAACACAAACATATTTTGTATTTAAAATATGGCTGTATATATAACATACTGAAGCAGGTACTAAATGAAGGCAAAAATACAGGTGTCTGAAGGGAAAAAAGGTCTTTACCTTATGACAATCACCACCAGGGATAATTTCTTGAATATATACCAAAGGCCCTTCATTTCTGTTAATTCCTCCCACAATATTCAAACCTAGGCTTGTTCCTTTGCAAACAGAGATAATCTGAAATGCACTATCCCTACAAAGAGAAGGAAAGGTAGAATTACTTCACAGAACTAGATACTCAATAAAGATTGAAACAACATATTATCCTTATGTATTTGCAAAATCAATAAGATATTACAGCAACAATCTCAATGTTCAAATATTACACTGCCAAATTACTACAAAATCAGCGACTTCAGGTGTTACTTCTGACAATTACAAAAGGAATTGGTACATAATATTACAAGGTTAAAAACTTCTGTCTATTATAGAGATAGATATATATATATATCTCCAAAGCTTATGAGAGTACTGGACATAAACCAGAAGCATTAATTCTTTAGGACACAGATCAAAAGTCAACTTCTACCATGTAAATGACAAATAAATAGGAAAATAACTTATTAGAACTGAAAGTCTGCAATATCCACGGTATTATAAATTACAGGATTAAAAATTAAAAAATAAACCAAAAGTTTAACACTTAGTGTTCAACTCAAATTCTCCTGACCAGCCAAACACAGTATTTCCTGCAGCTCACATAAGACAGTGACAGTCAGTTTTGGAAATTACTTTGCAGGCTTTGGGGATGGTGCTGGGACAGAATTATTTCTGCTGCTGGTAGTGGTGTTCTCCTTCAGATGCAACTGAGGACTCTGTGACCTTGAGGATGACCCAGAGGAAAGGCTCTCTGTAGATTTTGCTTCAAGAAAAGAAACGTTGAAAAAAAAGAAATAAAATACACATTGGGGAAAAAGCACAAAATTTCAGCTCGTGTAAGTTCAGTAGGATTATTTTCATGTTGGAAAACAGACAAATAAAGCATTTAGACAATCAAAAGGAAGCTTAAGTCTACACAGTAAGAAGTGCAAGTCACCCAGGGTCCCAGGAATAATACTTTAAAACATAGCAAGTGACAGTTTTTTCCAATCTAGGTGCAAAAAGCAAAATCTCAACTGACTTTCCTAAAGAATAATCCTCTGTGCTATATAAAGCATCTTAATTAGGCAGCAATTCCACAAAGATTAGAATTTACGGTACTCCAGCTCAAATTTTGTGCTTTGAAATCTTGCAGCACATTTCAGCTACAAATACCAAATACTTTTCACATCATTCATTAATTAAAATTGCTGAAAGCAGACAGTAATATATTTAAAAGTCGAGGACACTGACACACAAAGCCCTCAAGGTATATTTTTAGACTACAAATGTCACAGTCTAAGTGACCATGTGTTTTGCCTGACTTTTAGTCACTTCCTCCAAGAGATCTCCCCCCAGATTAAGAGTTTTAAGTGCAAGTTTCTACTCCACCCAAGGCTGGCTGTCCCACAGGATTATGTCAGGCTTGGAAGTGATCTCTCACCAGCTAACAGATGTGTTGGAGAACTTCTTGCAGAGTTGTTGTCACTGTGAGAGCCATACTTATCCATCAGGTCATGGAATTCTTTCCTGTGGCAATAAAAAGATCCTCTTTGTCAGGATTTGGCATTAGTGAAACCTGCACTGTACTGAAGTTTCTCTTCCTCAGAAGAGGAGGCTCAACCTCAACTGAAAGAGGAAAGCCCTGTCAAATGTCCAGAAAAGGCAAGGAAAAGATCATGTAATACAGGGTAAAGATGGAAAAGCAACAGACTGTGAATGAAGTGGACTATTGCTGAAAAAGCTTAATTATTATCTCTCTTTACCCTGGACTGCATAATTTTAAAAACTTGTAATCCAAATCAATTAGAAATGATAAAACAGTGGTATTACCTAGATCCAGAAAAAGTTATTCATATTAGAAGGCATCAGATTACAGCATACTCATGTTTTTTAAAGAATGCTTTTAGTTCAATTACACTGAACAAGAACTCAGAAGAGACTGGCAAACAAAGATGTGGCACCTCAAAAAAAAAAAGAGGACAGAAGAAATATTTATTAATTACTCAATAATGAGCAAAACAGAAGTAAATTTCAACTTGTACTTAGTTTTCTCAGAAATTTTCAGTCCATTTCATCATTTTTGTATATTAAATATTAAATATGTTTATCCTTAGGCTTTATCTTTTTGATTATGAAATCTCTCTCGTTGAAATAAAGAGCAATTCTTGGTCAGGTGCACTGTTGAAATAATGGAAATAGTTGAAAATACTACTACTACTACAAACCAAAAGCAGAAGTTGTTTGTTATCCATCATATTGTAACAAACTGGCAAAGATCTAAATCTTTGGATCACGTGCACTGAAGAGACAACAAAAATGCGTGATTCACCTAACATTGAATCCAGCCTAATTAAAAATAAAAAGTTTATAATCAGAGCTATGATTATCTCGGCGATACCCGATTTAAAAAATGTAAGTAATCTAGAATGATGTAAGCCAGAAACACTGGCAAATTAATACTGCAGAATTAAACACAGAGAAAACAAATTAACTGATTGCAGGGAGAGTAATTCCCAGGTAATTCCAGTGACTGCAGTTGAAAGCTGCTGGATGTGTTTTTTTTTTTTTTTTAAAATGACAAAATTTACTGTACTAATGCCAGAGCCAGGGAACACACAGTTGAGTGTAAATCAAATAATCTTTTAGCACAGGAATGTAAATCCCCAAGAAATGAATTCACAGGTGTCTAGGTGAGGGACTGTCTGGAGTGGCAAATTCGGCCCAGGCCACTGCTCCTATCCCCAGAGTGGTTAAAGGACTGATGGATTTTAATTATTCAAGGAATTTAGAGGAACTAAGCCAGTATGCTTTAGATAAAAGCAGATTAAGAGTGGACCTCACATATATCTGGGCAGTCTGAAAAAAAATGAGAGATCAGAGGCTACAGAGTGATTTAAATGTCTGTCAAATACACAAAATAAAGGAAACAGAAAGAAGGAAGCTTAACTCGGACAAAAGGCTAAAGGAATTTAGAGAAAAATCCTTTATGCAGAGATTACTCTGTAAGTGGAACATCCCAGGAAAGGCAAATAACAGCAGCTACTCTTGCAATGATTATCAAAAATAGTTACATAACAGCTCATTTCTCTGGAGATTTAAGTCACAAGGGGATACAGACCTGGATCCAGTGCTTCCGATGATGCTCTGCCAATATAGGTTTATATGCTTAACTTCCAACAGTAAGGTTAAAGCAATATTTAACATAAATGCCCTTATAATGGATGTATTTTGGACTACCTGCTGCACTGAACAGTTTAACCTGCTTATCCAAACCATTCAAAGCTCATTAGAGATTGAAAAGCAAATTTCCGAGGGGAAACAACAACTAAATCTGCCTTTTTTTCAGAAGGCCAGACCAGTCTGAACCATATAGTTTTGTGGTACTGCAGCTCTAATGTAGATTCTTAATTTTTTATTATTTTAAAATGTGAGAAGTATTAAAAAAATCTATCACAGCACATAATTTTTAATGGTATTAGCTGGGCACATAACATTAAAATCCTCCTCTTTAAACTCAAATTGGCCTGAGCTTGCTACTTGAATTGATGCAAGTGATCTCAGAATGAACTGCTATCAAATACCACACAGAAAAACGTGACATGTGGTGTAATCCTGCAATTAAATCTAATCTGAAAGAAAAATACATGCAAGCCCAGCCCCCCCAACCCAAGATATAGCACTGGAGTTTTATTAGTTTTGAGGTTAAAACAAATTTTTCTCTTACTTTGCTTCTTCATCTCTTGCAACGAGCAGAGACATGTGATTAGATGCTGATGCTGTTCTCAGGATGTCAACAGCCCTACAAGGGGGAAAACAGCCAAATAAATACACCAGGGGGCTGTCAAGAAGTACAGAGCAATGCTAAAAGAGCAGGAAAATGGACAAATTCCTATCAGAGTTAATCATTTTCACTGCCAGATACAGAGAAAAGAGCTTTCCAGCAGCGTAACTCCAACTAAGCATTGGGGAATGGAGCAAGAGAGACTGTGGTGCCTCTGTGCTGCTGACAGCAACAAGCTGGGACTGACCCCTCCTTCCCTTCCCTTTTGTCCCCATCTCTCCTTGGCCCATCCTACTGCCTTCCTGGACTTCCTTCAGGCTTAACAGCCCACACCAGACACAAACCACTGCTCAGGTGTGGTGCCTTGCTCATGATTTCCCTCAGCAATATATTCAGGATTTTCTGTTTGAATTTCTAGCCTCTGTCTCCAGCACTAAGCTGCACTGATCTCTAGTGATCCAGCTACAGGAACCACCTCCAGATTTTTCTAAACCATTTCCCCTTCATTGTCCCATTACCTGTTCCCTGAATCATTTACATTCACCATTACTGAACCAACAGCTAGTTATCAAAGTTTTTTAACAGCTTAATATGTTCTAATGCTATTTTCACACACATTCTGTAATCTATGGCATTAAGAAACCAGTTTATTCTGGCATTATAAAAACTTAAAAGTCATTCACTTTTCCACAACAGTTTTGCTGAATTAGATTTATAGGATAAATTAATTGCCAGCTGAACTCCAAAGACCTCAGGCGAGTTGAGCTCTTTCACTCAGTCATTGATAATGTTCAAAATAATCTGCATATGATATTCCAAGCTCTAATAAACATTCATTAATCAAATTTACCTTTCATTTGTTACTCCAATCAAGTTTTCTCCATTGACATCCAAAATGAGGTCACCAGTGAGCAAACGGCCTTGTAATGAAATCAACAGTAATTCATGAATCGACAGGAAAACAGTGAACATGGTATTCAAACAGGACTTTTCCTTTCAGTTTGATGTGATTTAATGCAATAAACAATTTTATGACTGTCATGACTTTCTGATCCTAATTAAGATGGGTTATTGTGATAAGATTAATAACTGTCAATCAGTCTTATTAACCACAGAATAGCCACTGAAAATAAGTGTTATTTAGCTATTTGTATTATTTACACACAGCACAAATATTTGTGGGACTGGAATTTGTATTTCACAGTTGTGGAAATTAACTCCGAGTTGAAATTTCTTTTGACAGATTTTTTTTTTTTAATATGCAGTGTGTTGGTAACAAATAAATTCAAAATTACTTACTATCTACAGCAGCAACCCCTCCAGGTAGAATTCTCTTTATAAAAATCCCATAATCTTCTGCTGTTTGTGCCCGATAACCTCCAATAATTTTAACTCCTGCAGGAAAAAATAAGAAACGAGCAAGAAATTGGTTATTCCATCTCCTGTGCTAAATGTATTAAGAGTCAAATCCACAAAAGCCAGATAAACTGTTGGTGATGACAGTGTGACCTGGAAGAGCTCACCAGGTGTTTTTATAGCTTTGGTTTACTCTGAGGATGTGCAATCTTAGTTACCTAATCCATTCTGGCAGTCAGAGAAGGAAATGCGGTGAACAGCTCGATTGATTCCATGAGGGCCCATAATAGTCCTAAGGAACAAAATAAAAGCCATTAAATTACAGAAATGTATGTAGTGCTATGTTGACATAAAAGAAATTACAGTGATTGCGTTTTTAACTCCAATACCAATGTTCTCCACTGACAACTTCATATTGTTTGATCCCTCTGCCCACCCCTTCCCCAACCGAAAATCAACCTCCTCATCACAAATATCAGGTGACAAGGTACTACAAAGTGTACACAGTTTACTTCTTTTTCCCCCAGAGCATTTCGGGATGAACTGTGAATTTCATTTTGTTTATAATAAAGGGATTATGATTAAATACAAACAAAACCCCACAACCTGGTCCAGCTTAGCATGCAGGCAAGAAAAACATACCATAACATCTTAGATCAGGTAACGAATGAATATTAAAATAAAGCCACTGCTAAGACAATGTATACAAAAGCATTTTCTAACATATAATTTTGTTGTTATTTATGAACATAATATTTTCCCTACAGTCTCTTAATTTCTTCACTCAACACTGATTTCCTTTTCTGCTGTAAAAAAAGAGTTTCTTTCCCAACTCTTTTGCCTGGTCCCCTGTGTACCCTCCCACCCCAAGAGAAAATACCAGGATGGCACTTGAAATAGTCTAAAGGCAGAGGAATATTTTGGAGGCAGTTCATCATGCTAAAGAATTAAGGAAGAATAAAAGTAGAGGTTTGAAACTCAAATTTCCAGGCCCATGGGACACATGACCAGCACACGGCTCCGAGAACACAAAGTGTTAAGAAGTCCTGTAAGTCCAGGTGACCCTTTACCAGTTTTTATTTTTTATTAGATGAATTATGATTTAAAAAATGCAAGTTGCATCATAGCTCCTTTGTCCTGCCACTGTACCATTTCTGGGGAAGATTCACCAGATCTCTTCGAGAAAAGAGCAGAAGCACCACTCAGGTTTTTCTGCTTTGACCTACATATTATTCTGTATCAGACAGACATATATATTGTTCTGTATTTTCTAGAGAGTGCTGTTAAAGTGACATGGAACAACCAGAATTCATTAGCAGGAGGCAAAAGAAGATCAAAGTGGAGGACACAGTGACCCAAATCCTCCCACACAACCTAATCCAGCACACAGCCTGAACTCCGTGCCTGAAACTGGGTATATCTGCAAAAGCCAGGGTACATGTCATTAACTGGGGCCATGCCAAATGGAAAAGAGAAATCCAGAAGGTCCAAATGTTCTTAAACTCTAGCACCAGGCAGGAGGTCCAGCTTCTAAAGAACATCTGCAGTACTTTTAGTTTTGTAGAAGAAAACTGGATGAGGGTTCTTTATCAAGGGATAAGCACTAGCTCTGAAAAGCAAGTTTCCCAAAACCTCAATTTCCCAAGTATTTGCAAAATTAGCCTTTGCTTTAGAAAGGCTGGCTACAAGAACAGACCCAAAAATTCATGTTTAGAAACAAAAAGTAGGCCTATGCTTCAAACACTGTCTCATTTTCACTGGATAGTTCTTGAAGTAATTGTTTCATGGGCTAAAAAGAAATGATGAAACCCAGACAGGATATTTGGGCTGTATTTGACACAACTGCACATGACCTTGCAATGACATGGCAGAGCATAAGGCACTGCCATTTTTGTATGGCTAAAAGTGAACCAAACTGCTTTCATTTAGCAGTGTTACTACCCAGTACTGTCACTTCGATTATCCCATGAATCTAAATTGTTCTGAAGCTGAAATACAGCACCCTGGCCATGTTCTTTGCAGGTCTCTCCTGACCTGTATCCATCTTTGAAAACTTAAAAAGGCTACACTGATCTTTACAACAGACAATTATTGTATTGTTTTCCTCTCTTGCCTTTTGCTACTTATGCTCTGGTTCTTGCCCTGCCATGCCCTCAGCAGTTCTCACATGGCATTTTCTTAGTTAAAATAAAAAAAAACAAGAACAAAAGTTACTTCAACCTCACACAAAGTCACACAGAGGTTTACTTTCATAAAGTCTTAAAAGATCAAATCTCCGACTTTAAAGTTCAGAGTTCACTAGAAATTGTAGGACCTATTTATATACTACCATATAAAATGATCATGAAATATGATCAAATCTAAGCACAGGACACTTAATAGGAAAGGATTCACATCTCCAGAAGGAACAGGCAACACTTTCAAAAGATAGATCATAACTAACATAAAATGCATTCTGACAAAGAGGATACAGAGGATATACAAATTAACAATAAACAGTGGAGAGGGATAAGATAACTGTGAAACAGTGGAATTGTCTTGATGCTGCCACCAACAATTACAAAGAACTGTTGAGCTGGTACCTTTAAAAGATACTCAGGTGTTTAAAATTACTTTATCATACAAAAATAAAGACAAGGATCTTCAAATGCTCTGAATTGGTTTAGCATATCTAGCTGACTTTTGGTGGTAGTTTTTTTCCCCAGAAAACTTAGAGATAGATCTTCAAGTCAAGCTGCTTGTCATAGTTCTAATAAAATAAACAGGGCTTTAACAGTTTCACTGTAAAAAGCCTTGGATTCAGCACCCATCCAACATTAATTTCATGTTATCATTATTTAATATTCATGAAATGTCAGAATACTGCCCCCAGAGCATTAGAAATATGCTCAACGGTATAAATAGGGAAACAGGTTTCTAAACAACTTGGCAGGAATAGCAAAACATAATTCAGTGCTCTTTGTGGAAGACACGAATTAAAAAAATCAGATGTTGCTGCTCATTTCTCGAGGTCAGGCAAAAGTTCTTGTAAGCAAGGTTTTAGCACACAGAGCAGATGAGAGGCAACAGACAAAATAAACAAGCAAAACTCAACAAAATGTACACTATAACTGTCTTACACTAGAAAATGCTAAACTCAACACTCCAAGTGAAGTCCTGGAACACTAACAGACTAAGTGCATATCATTTTGTGTAGGTGCTCTAGTAAAGGCAATTAAAATGACTTTCCTTCTATTACTTTTTAGCAGAATACACAAGGAAATTCAACAGCTTTAGGTTTTGTATCTTCTAAGGACTTATCAGAATATACAGGATATTCTTCTGATCTCTATTCCTGAGAAACTGTCATTTATGTGCACGAACAAAATATTTATCCAGGATAATACACTTTCCTCACAAAACAGAAAATACTTGACCCATAAGCAAAAATCTAAACAGTAAACTCTGGCAGCTTATGACAAGAAGCTGGAAATGCCCACAGCTTTTAAATGATCTCTCCTGTACTTTGCCCAATTGCAGACCAGAACAGTGCCCCCAGCATACCAGTACAGGAGAGAAAGCCCATCAAAGCGCTCTGGTTCATCTTCAGCCCCCGGTGAGAGTAAGGACATTCTTCAGGACGGCAGCAAAAACAAAGGCAACGCAACCAAACCGCTCTGGAGGCTTCCAGTCCAGCTGGATAAAGGTTATGAGCTGGATGATTTCTGCTGCTCACTAAAAACCCAAACACAGAGCTCCAGCCAAGCGTCTCTGCCCACTTAATCTCCTCTGAAACCCTCTGCGTCACATGGACTAATTCACCTAGCGAGGTAATGTTTACTTTTTCTCTGCTTGAAATGGCAATTTACAGCAACTTTGAAGGCTGATAAATACCAAGGAGAAAATTTACTGCACTGTGACTAAGGAATCTGGATCTAGCAGCCAAAGGCAAGTGACGTGATTAAAATAAATTTATTTTCTCCTGTTCTTCCAATAATTTATTTCTACGCTCCCTCCAAACAAGGTCAAAAGCAGTAACTCACGACCTTTCCAAAGCAATCTTCCTACCAGACTGGATTATGTACAGCCTCACAAAAGGGAAAGCCAACAAAGCAGACTGAAAGCACTAATGAAACAAATGCCATTATGCTATTACTTGGCATTCTCAATCATGCTATTGACCTGTGGCACACTTTAACCTGGTTTTTAGACTTCCAATATACAGTAGTCAAAAGTTATCACAGAATTTAGGTTACATATTTTCTCTAGGAAGGGAAACTGATACATCTGTTTTTCTGTGAAAGGCAATAAAACTGGTGAATTTTATGTCATTACACTGAGAATAATCTGACTGAAAAAGTGAAAAATATAACCCTGTTCCCAGAGGTCAGACCCTGCTGACAGGAAGCTTGGCCTTGCAGAGATACACATATTTTCAGAAGTTCTGAGCACCTGACATCAGTTTGGTTAATGATCATTTCCTTCCAGTCTTGCATCAGAAGATGCATCCCTATTACTCCCCCTTTTTCTAAAATATTATAAAAATACTGCAATTTAAAATGAAACCCAAACATCCTGCGTTCACTGAGGGCTTTAAGTAGAAAGGTGAATCCTCTGTAGCAAGGAGTGACCCTGTGATCAGACAGCATCTGTCAGGTCTGGAGCTGTGCAGCAGGAGGGCTCGGCTATGCCAGGAATGCACTCGCTTATCTAAAGGCACCTTTTTTTTTTTTTTAAAGCTGCAGGGACTGTGGTTTCATTAGCACTTAATCGTTCTGGAGAAAGGATCCCTTTGCTTACAGACAATGTTCAAATAGAGCCAGGCCCCAGAGCCTGCAGAGCCACTAAAGGGGTAAAGTGACCCACCACAGATTAAGGAGCACATCAGAGGTGGAAGTGGGAACACAAAGCAGCCTTCCCAGTTTCCAGACCGTGAAGAGCTCCACTGGCATCCTTTGGATTGCTCACATCCATTCAGAGATAAAAATTTGGCCCTTTGTAATCTTTTCTCAATCAGTTCACTCTGTCGGTGTTACTGGCATTGCAGTCAGGTGAAAGAAAACCCACTGATATTTTAAGCCTTGTACCAATTAGCTTTGCTCCAGGTGAAGTTACAGAAAACACCAGTAGCTTTTCTCCAGCAAAAGTGTCACCAGTGGAATTCAATTTGTGGTATCAATATCAGGAGCATTTGTCAAAGCAAATCTCTCAGACCAATCTGGCTTGATTCCAGTGTCACGTTTTCTGCAATGCAAACCTGTCCCCCAGTTACCAGCCTGGCTCAGGGCTCTGCATTTTCACTGTTAAAAAGCCAAAAGGTATTTTTATTAAACCAGAAATTACAAACTTCTGAACAATGTAAGCTGACATAAAGTAGTATTAAGCTTATTGCTCCCATTTTATTAGTTATTAGCAGTGATAGATCACTTGTTCAGACAATCCCTCCTTCAAAGTAAACTGTGCCTTGTTCAGCTTCCTGAACTCATCCCTGATGCTTCTATCCCTCTTTACCTTCAAATTCTGCTGCTGTGCTGCTTTTAATGTTTCTAAAGGATTCATACAGAACAATATTCTTCTCATTATTGCTTCTCTTGTAAGTTCTCTGCCTTTCAAGAACATACCCAGGAGAACACAAATTACCTTTTATTTCCAGAATGATCTAGGAATACTTTAACAACTCAAAAGTCCATAACATTTATGATAAATAAGTAAAACTAAATTTTCAAGAGATATCATTTGTTATTAAGTAGGATTCCTTTCCAAACAGTCAGTAAACTGTTCTATTCTGCCAACATTTGTAATTATGACTGGCCTTTCCCAAAGGAAGTTTTGCAATGCTTTAGCAGCTGAGATGGATTACAGGATAACTTAGCAGATGACAAAAAGATTTGCAGAATCTTTGGGCATAAAATTCACAAGATCTTTTTGTAATAAATAAAACAAAAGGCCTTTTACAAAAATCCTCTACAAGTCCATTAAGCAACTGCAACCTTTCAGGGGCACTAACCCTAAATTCAGATACTAAGGACCACAGCCAAAGGAATGCTGTGTCATACAGCATGGAAAAGCACTTATTCTGATTTATCCCAAACCATTAATTATTCAAAATATGTTTTGCTGATTAGGTCATAAAGAGTAAAAGAAAACACACGTCATTATATGGCAATTGTTAAACATGAAAAAAAAGCTTGGGCAACATTGTAATTGTGGAGAAGCATGAATGGTTTGAGGCTAACCCCTGTGTAGAGAGGAAACATGTTATTTAAAGTTCAGGTAAACCTCAGTTAATATATAACCAAGTGCATTCTTGGAGCATTGTGCATCGATACTGCCTCCCAGAAAATCAGAAAGCATAGAAAATTATAGTCTGCCATTATCATGTAGCTCAAGTGCAGTTAGAGGTGCCTTTCCTGTTCCTCTCATATGTGAAAAATTGCCTTTGGAACACTGTGATCCAGGAACTACTCATGAAATACACCTTCCACATGATTCTAGCAAGCCACAGCTTCTTAAAGATGTATCTTTGTGGCACATACCCTGAATTTCCATGGGACAAGCAGAGTGCTGGCTTCTTCAGGTCTCAGTAAAAACCAAGTAGGTTTTTTTTTAAATATTTTGTGGGTTTGGTTTTCAAAAAAATCAAGTTATTTACGAGGTGGCATAATTCTAAATCTATGCTAAATTGGTTGAAAATGCTTTTGAATTCTGTTGGCTGGATTCTATTACAAAAGCACAGCAAACATGATAGTCCAGCAGGAGCTGTCTGTGCCTGGTTTTAATTCTGGTTTGGATGACAGTGTTGCCACAGTTACTTGGCAGTTTGGGAAGGGTCTGGAGTTATGGTTTTCAACCATGACTGAATCCAGTTTTGCCATTTAGAATCTGATCCAACTTTTGAGTGGATAACATTACAGTCTGTAGTATTAATATCATTACAATTTTAGATCCCATGGCACTGGTAAAAATATGATGGTTCCAAACCACTATACATAAAGCATTAAAGGTATACAGACACACTATTCTGAAAAATCCATGCATTATAATAGATAAACTCTATACAGTGTCTTATGTTACTGTAGGTGCCCTATATATACAAGGAAATAATTTGGTATATACCTTACAAGTATGTTTTCATAGTTGCAGAAGCATTAAGGAATTTCTTTGCAGGGTTTTATCTCTGCAGAACCAGTCCTAACCAAGTGCTGATTAACTTAATGAAAAGCTTAAGAGACATTTGCTCCCTTAATGTGTAAATTCACTGGTGTTGGTGTCACCTTCTCTAAGATGTTGATTCAATATCAAAGTTATTTTTCCTGAAGACTTCATCAAAACTAATGGAACTGCAAGAATTTTCATATGATAATCCAGTAATTCCTGTCTCTGGAGGGAAAAGAATACTTACTTTTTATCTGTATTTATTAGGGGATCTGTACTGGACATCTTCTTAGGTGCACTATTTAAATAAAAGTTCAAAATGAAGAATTCTGACACATGAAGAACTGGCTCCTAACCAGGATAACAACTGCTGTGAAAAAAAAAAAAGAAACCACTTTTCGAAATTTAAATGGTCATATCTATTTTCAGACACTGAAAACATTCTCATTTATTTCTGACTATTTGAAATCAAGCTGGAAAAAGAGAACTGCCATGATAAAACAGCTACACTTCATTGCTGAAAACAGTTAACAAGTCAGGCTTCGTTGTATGTGGTACCAAAACATCTCACATCCTAATTCCCTCTTAATTTATGAGGTAGGAATTAGGATAAACCTGAATCCTCTGTGATTAAAATCTTCCAAAAAAGGAAAGAACAGATTGGCAGTTACATTACTTTATCTTGAAATTGTAAAGACAAAAAAAAAGTCTCTCTATTTTTTTTCCCTCTATCAAAGGTTTCTTGTGGAGGGAATGTTGTGTGGAACATGATAAGGTGTTCTGTGTGTCTTTTCTCATGTTTTTTTAACTTACTGTCTAGAATTCAGTGTGCATGAACTTCTCACATGAAGTATGTAGGACAGGCCAAAACACACGAAATGGGATTACATACCACTAATGTAACAAAACCCCCAGTAATTCACATTGTGCTTTTATTAGCACATGCAACAGGTCAACGGGAAATAGAAACACTAATTCCTGCAGGTCAATATTTGGAATACAATAAAATTTCCTGCAGTTTTCAGATCTCTCCTTAAAAGAACAATAACCCACTACGTGAACACAGTGGAGGTACCACAATATTGCTTCACCCCAGCCTTTACCATTCTCTTATTCAACACATCTAAATGGAAAATGAAGCAATATCAGGAGCTGTCAGTCCTTATGTGGTTCATGTTACTGGAACCAGCACAGAAGAGGAGCACTGCTCCAAAGCTGTAAATTTAAGTATTGCTAGAGGAAAGTTTATTACGGTGCATGGGGACCAGTCGTGGGAAAAGCTATTGTTTGTGAATTTTCCTGACCGTCCCCATCCTGAAGTTATTGCTGCTTGCAAACAGCTCTTAATCCCTTTGCAGCGTGTCCACACCTGTGCCTGAACAACAACAAATCCCTGCCCGTGGGAAGGGAAATTAACAGGCACCAAAACACCACTGGGGAAAACAAACAAACAAACAAACAAAATAAACGACCAGTGTCAGTGTCCACAACCGGCGGAGATTTGCGAGGCCTCGGAGGGACCAGCAGGATCAGACTCATGCTCTGCGCCTGTCCGGGGGCGGCTGGGGTGGTACCTGAGGGGTAACCAGGCACCTGAGGGATAACCAGGCACCTGAGGGATAACCAGGCAGTACCGAGGTACTGTCTGGTTATCCACCAACAACCTGGTACCACATATCTGAGGTACCCAGGTACCAGGTTCATGAATTATCTGGTACCTCCTCAGCACCCTGGGTACCAGGGTATCTCGGTTATCCTCCAGTACCCTGGTACCAGGTACCTGAGATAACCAGAGTGCTGAGGGATAACCAGGGTATCTCTGGTTACCCTGGTACCAGATACCCGAGGCATGTGGTTTTCCCTCAGTACCTTGGTACCAGGTACTGCGGCGCCCTGGTTATCCCCTGGTACCCTCGTACCGGGGGTACCCTGGTTATGCCTCGGTACTCTTGCACCGAGGGTACCTTGGTTATCCCTCAGTACCCCGGTACCGCGGGTATCCTGGTTATCCCTCGGTACTCTTGTACCGGGGGTACCTTAGTTATCCCTCAGTACCCTGGTACCGCGGGTATCCTGGTTATCCCTCGGTACTCTTGTACCGGGGGTACCTTAGTTATCCCTCAGTACNGTACCTTAGTTATCCCTCAGTACCCTGGTACCGCGGGTATCCTGGTTATCCCTCGGTACTCTTGTACCGGGGGTACCTTAGTTATCCCTCAGTACTCTTGTACCGGAGGAACCTTAGTTATCCCTCGGTACCCCGGTACCGCGGGTATACTGGTTATCCCTCGGTACCCCGGTACCGCGGGTATACTGGTTATCCCTCGGTACTGTGCTACCAGGTACCTGATGCGCGGACCTCGCTGAGGCATCTGCGGGACAAAACCCCCCTCCCGGCCGTGCCCCGCTCGCTGAACCCGCTCCTGGCCGGCCCTCCGGTGTCGCTCCCGTCCAGCACCGCCCGCCCCGGCACCGCTCCGTGCCAGGAGCTCTCGGGGCTGCGCCAGTTACCTCGTACACAAACCCGCCGCCCGAGCGGTCCCGCTGTGGGGGGACGGAGGGACCGAACACCGGCGGGTGCACCGGGACCCCCCGCGCCTCTGCACCGCTCCGAGGGGGCGCGGCGGGCGGGCAGGCGATGGCGGCTCGACCCGCCCCGCTCCTGCCTCATCCCGCCTCCACTCCCGCCTCCACTCCCGCCCCTCAGCCGGCACCGCCCGGCCCTTCCAGCGCCTCTCCCGAGAGCCCCCGCGCCGCGGACATGGCGCTGTGCGGGCCGGGCTGGGCCCGCTGTGCCCGCGGGCTGCGGCTCGGGGCGCTCCCCCGGTGCGGGCTCTGGGGGACCCGCGGCGTGCGGAGCTCCAACCCCTTCACCCGGCAGCAGGAGGAGGAGTGGCGGCGGCGGAACCGCTCTGCCGTGGGCTACATCGCGGCGGCCGCCGTGGGCATGGTGGGGCTGTCGTACGCGGCCGTGCCGCTCTACCGCCTCTACTGCCAGGTACGGGGGGCCCGCGGGCGGCCATGGCGCGGGGGGCGCGGGGCCCTCACTGCCCTTCCCTGACAGGCCACGGGGCTCGGCGGGACCACGGGCGAGGGGAGCAGCACGGAGCGGATCGAGAGCATGGAGCCGGTGCGGGACAGGGTCATCAGGGTCACGTTCAACGCCGACGTGCACTCCAGCATCCAGTGGAACTTCAAGCCGCAGCAGAGAGAGATCTACGTGAGTCGCTCCGATCCCCCCTCAGATCCCTCACCAAGAATCGTCAAGGCTGGAAGAGAGACCTTTAGAGATCACCCATGCCAACCATCCACCCCGCACTGCCACTGTAACCCCTAAACCACCAAACCACATCACCCCCCGCCAGACCCACACGCCTCCGGAACACCTGCAGGGATGGTGACCACCATTCCCTGGGCAACCTGTTCCAAGCCTGACCGCACGAACAGCAAAAAATTTTCTAATATCTAATCTGAGTCTCCCCTATCTGGTCCTCTCACTGCAGGCACAGCAGAAGAGACCTGCCCCCACCTCACTACACCCTTGTGTGGAGTTGTGGAGAGCAATGAGGTCCCTTCTGAGCCTCCTTGAGACTAAACAAACCCAGCTTCCTCAGCCCTTCCTCATCAGACGTTTTCTAGACCATTCATGAGCCTGGTTGCCCTTTGCTGGACACGCTCCAGCACCACAATGTCCTTTTTAAAGTGAGGGACCCAAAGCTGAAGGCCCAGCCGTGAAGGCGCCAGGTTTAGCCTCGTGTGATTTTGTCTCCTGCATCCCCATTGTGGACATCCATCCATTGGCATATCTGGGCCCTGATCTGGAAAACACCCAACAAGGCACTTCAGCTCAGAGTGCTCCCTCAGTTCTGCCACTTTGGGATGGCACGTTGGGTGCTGGTGGCTTCTGCTTCCAGAGGGCAGAACTTAAGTGCCTGCTGTGGTGTAGTCAAAGCGTAGTTGCCTCCCACCATCCCATCAAGGCTTGCTATCAAAACTGTATTTATATATACACTTCATGGTATATACACCATATGTATATGGTATATACACTGTAAAGTGTGTATATATACTTAAAATACAAATATAGAATGTAACTGTATATCTAAACCTGTGCCATTTCTTTCTCCTCCCTATTCTTGTAGGACTGTTTTTGAATGGGGGTAAATTGTATGTAAGCAAAATGTTCATGAAATAATCAATTTGAAACAGCAAAAGAGAAAATTAATTCTAGCTAAAGCCCAAAGAACTTGGTTTGAAGGGTGGAGGGCTGCACTGGCTTAAACAAAAAAGGAAGTCACTGTACAATTATGTTACACAGGTGGTACCAGGAGAGACTGCACTGGCATTTTATAAAGCGAAAAATCCTACTGACAAACCAATAATTGGCATCTCCACCTACAACGTGATCCCCTTCGAAGCAGGACAGTATTTCAATAAAATACAAGTAAGTGTGAACAAAGCAAAGATTGCATTTTCCTTTGCACGAAAGAAAATAGTTATCCATCGATTAGCACCACTGACTCTGAGGGCAGGTGGGAACAGGGTGAGCTGGCCTGGCCCACTGGCACCTTTGCACACTTCATTAAAAGCTAATTTCTTTCCCTGTAATACAAGAAACGGAACAGAATTGCTGTCATGTTGCTCATATGATTGATCCTTCCCAGGATTTTAGGGACGTACAGGGAATGAGAGTTGATATTAAAAGACGAAGCTTTCTCTCATGTTGGCACAGATAAAACTGCCAGCCATCACTATTGTCTAATTGTGGTTTTTTTTGCTCCCCCCCTGCAGTGTTTTTGTTTTGAAGAACAGAGGCTGAATCCTCAAGAGGAAGTGGACATGCCTGTCTTTTTCTACATTGATCCAGATTTTGCAGAGGACCCTAAAATGGCTAAAGTTGATTTGATCACCCTCTCTTACACCTTCTTTGAAGCAAAGGAAGGACAGAAGTTGCCACTTCCTGGGTATCAGTAATGGGCCATCTCTACAAAAAAGGACTTCTGCTGCCTGACTGACAGTTTTAAGATCATTTTTCCTTGCAAGTCAAAACTGCAGGAGTACTGTGCAATATGAAATTACATTATTAAACCAACACGGGCACTGCTGTTATTAAAGTATATATATTTTTTTTAAAACCAACTTAATGCAGTTGGAATACTATTTCTTAGTGATAGCATTTCTTCAGTGGAAGGGAATACACTCTTCCTGGAATTGAGAGGGTTTTCTCAAGCCATCTTTTTATAAAATGTTACCTGAATACTATGAGACAAATTTTTAAACCCAAGGGTAAATTGAGATCTTCATTTAAATGCAGAAGAACAAATCAGTTTATTAAGCATCTAAAATTGCATTGCTGGCTCTGGAGAATAAATTCCATGTTACTTTAGAAAAAGGTAAAACCAGATAACCAGTTAAGAAAATCTCATAACTAAATAAAGTTAGACTGTATTCCTGTGTAACCCTCCCTGGCACTGGAGGATATTATGATTCAGAAGATGAGGCACCCTCTCAGGTTATTACTGAATCAGTAGTTCATTTGGTAAGAGCAGACTGCTCTGAAACAGTTATCATTAGAACAGTAATTTAAGTGTAAGCACATCAGATCTGTGGGATGGTTTCCATTTAGAAAATACCACCTAATTTCCACGTTGTGTTTTACTCATTTCAAGTCTCTGTACTCTAATTAGAGTGCTGTGTGCCTCTGCAGAGGGCTGCACCCTGGGCACCTCTACACAGAGACAGGCTTGGCTTAGGTACGAAATGCTTTGAGGGAAGGGCTGTACATAAACAACTGCTCTAAACTGCAGCTAAATTAACAGTGTAGGAGTCTCCTCAAAAGCCCAAATCAGCCCCATTCAGAGGCTGAGTCCAACAGAACCTGCCCAGCAGCACAGCAGTTCTTCAGAGGGACTCACTGTTTACCACCAGACCATGTAAGCCTGTATTTATGTAACTTTTGGTCATTATCTGTGGGGTGGGTGTAATAACACTTTATCATTGCTTTGCAAACGAGGAGTTGCCGAGCAAGTTTAAGTGACCTCCTCATTTTCAGACAGGAGTTAATCTCAGCCAGTATCTCATCTGCTAGGCCAGTTCTTTCTACCCCTTTCAGCAGATGAGAGCTAACAAAGTAAGACTAATGTTGGTTTGCTTGGACTCTGAAAAGTTAATGGGTACATCAGAAATGACTTCCAGTTACTTGAGTCTGAGTTATATTTGCATACAATAATTCAAAAAGTGTTCTTTTGAAAATAAATGGATGCTACTTTTAAAATGCATTACTGTACCAATTATCTGTGTTGGCTAAACAGATCCTGGATGACATTCATGCCAGGTCTTCACTGTATATTAAAGTTTTAAAAGTTTTCATTCTTTCATCTCTCTAATGCATTTTATCCAGCAAAACACGTGGAGCCCACACAAATTAAATACATCTGTATGAAGACAGCAGCAAGCTTTATAATTCCATCATGCTTCAGGAAAAGAAAACCCAGCATAAAGATCAGTCTTTGAATCCAGGCTAGGGGAAAAAAATTCTTACCTGGGTTGACTTTAGTCCATTGTCTTTTTGAAAGCTGAACTGATCAGGGCAGTTCTCCACACATTCCTTTGTTCTGGCCACCTGCTTCAGAAGGAAAGGAACATCCCCCTGGCAAGTGCCAGTTCCTTAAAAATGCAGGTTCTCCCCTCCAGTTTGAAAGCCCAAGTTTGTGCAGATACTGAGCACGTTCCAACTGTAAAACAAGCTCTGTAAGCTCGGTAATTAGCCAGTTCCCTTTCACTTATCTGTGACCATTTTGCTGCTTTAAATACATGAAGGTTCAGTCAGCAATCACCCATTATGGATTACCACACTGAAATAGCCCTTTTTGATTTGTTACCCATCAGTGTGTGAGTTTTGCCAATGCAAGTAAGCTGTAGGGAAAAAATTGATCCACCTCAAATCCTATTTTCAGCTGTTTTCTCAGGCTGCTGCAAATAATACAAGAGAAATTAGAGTAAAACAACTTCCCTTTTCACCTCAGCTTACAAAAACCCCAAACTTGTGTTTTGGATAGAAGCAAGGTGTTCTAAAGGTCCTGCAGCAACATTGCTGACTGTGCAATGACACACCACGGATTTACACTAAAATACTTCCAAAACCAACTACATTTGGTGTTTCAGGGAATACACAAATATGCAAAAACTCAGAAGCAATGAGAGTTAACTTCTCAGTAAGCATTTGCCTTTATTTGGAATTTTATGCTACAAAAATTGCAAAACCAGCTGAGAACTTATCCCTTAAACAGTTAACATAAGGAATGTTTAAAATGCAGTATTTCACAAAAAATTAGCTTATCTGCTATGAACATGAACTATGTCCTCAAATTTTATATCAACTATAAACTCAGAGAACTATACCTGTTAAAGTGCACAGTTTACATTCAGCATTAAAATAGATAAGGCACTGTAATTATTAAAAGATAAAACTGTTATTAACAGGGTTAAACAACTTAATTAAAGTAAATGGATAACTACTGCTCATCTGCATTGTAGATAATTAATTTTTCCTTCACCAGAACAATCTCTGCAGGGCAGGAACATTGAGAGAAATAATTGATCCCCCTTCAATATTTACTGAGTAAATACAAGCAACAACAACAACAACATAGGAACAGGCAGTTTTTTTCTGTTCTGTTAATCA